CTACATATAGGCTACCAGAATGTGTTTGGAAGTGTTTCATTCATACTATTTTACAATTCTTATCGATATTTTGTCGTCTACTAGACACTGCCGCCTGATTCTCTAACCGGGCTCTCCTTACGGTAAAGGAGAATTTCTGAGCGCATTTTTGTATATATATAGATATAGATATAGATATATACAGACCACACAAATTAACACAACTGTTCATCAATTTTTGCAACCTTTTTTATGCATAGTATCAAATGATTCTTCATGACAATTTGATTTTCAGTGACGACTTCGGAATTCAGAAATTATGAAATCGAAATCAGCCTTAGATATTAAACTACACAGAGGATGATCATTACTCTCATCTTTAGCTAATACAAGTGTTATCCAATGCATTGATAGGTCGATACATATCAATTAGTGATATACTTTCTTTTTTATAAATCATGGCCTTTTTTTGCTGCTACAAGTTCGAGTAAAGCACGTACTTCAGCACGTACTTTATACATAAACTTCAGGTTACGTGTGAGATAACTAACACGTGAATATCTGTAAAATCAAGGGTTTTCACTTCGAGTGTTGTTGTTGTGGTAAATCTCATTTGTTACTGTTTACTTGGATTTACCATTGAGTACATGGCTTGTGTTGTTAGAAGCATAAAAAATCATAAAAATAATACATACTTTTACATGTCAACTATGAACTCGACATGCCTTTTCATCTAAGACATGAAAAATGTGACAACCGTCAGACCTAGTTAAAATTGAAACTGAAACTAGTTAGAATGAGCAAGAAAGTTGTGGTGTTATCAGAGATCGTGATGTTACCAAGATTTGACCTATTATTTGGTGACCTATGAACCATGACGATGAGGTAGCCTCTGATGACGTAAGCTAGATTCGGTGGCGAGCAGACAAGTCCTAATGGTTTTCGCGTGGGAGGATAACACCTTGATGAGTTCATTTACTATATGAAATGTTAGGCCGGATGCTGAGCCTTACAACGACAAAGGAGCGGAAGAGAAACTGTATAGCAGGCCTTGCCACCGGCGTCCGTCTCGGCGTGCACATCAATATAATTACAAAAAATGTGATTAGATTGGTTTCTCTGTGACATAAGTACTAATACTACATATTAGAGTAGGTATGATAGTCTTAGGCTTTATAATTGAAATCTAGACAAAAAAATTCTGGATGATAAAAACGAATTATTTGTGGTTTTTGAAAATTTGTACGGAATCCTTTAAAAATTGCTCAAAACATACACAAACTCAGTTATCAAGAAACCACAAAATAAATCAATGTCTTTAGATCTATTGGCCGGATTGTTTAAGACTTAATATTTAATTGTTATTTTTGAATTTCGTCATTTTCCTGGTCGTTAGAAGCCCCGTTCAGCTGAAGCACAGATCGATCATAGGCAGGCAGTTAATATCATTATTTAGCTCATAGTTTTGGATAAAATGGATTTGGTTGTAATTTCCAATAGATATTTCCAACTTTTTCATACTATATAAAACTCTGATAGGCAACGTTTATTAAATAAAAATGATAAAAATTCGAATTTTTCGCTCATTTTTGGGAGGATTTAGTGGTATTAAAGAGTCTTAAAGGGAACAGAGAGACATAATGTTCCTCAGAATTCTTAAACTAATTCATTTAAATAGGTGTTGCTTCCTAGAAATTTCTTATTTAACGACACATCAGCTTCATATAACACAAAGGTTTAAATCAGGGATTATATTAACTTATTGATTAAAACATTGCCGACCGCTATAAAAGGCAACACAGAGAGACCAGTGTGAAGTAATTGACAATCACTACTAGTGCAAATAAATGGATGGTTCACTTGGCTTATGCTAACTCCAATGAATCGAGCTATATTTAGAAAACAGTCGATGTTTCTATTTTATGGCATTCAGAAACCTGTTTCTGTAGGAAATTAATAGACGTCCACAAGTCGTACGAAATGCAATATGTCTTTCGGAGTTTACGTTCATTGTGTCATAAGATGATAATATCATATCTTTGATGTCATTAAAAAAATTGGTAGACGGAAAAGACTTTTATAAACGTATCTCCGGAAGCTGAAGAGTTCAGACTTCAGGGATGCTCTTGTAGTAGAAACTGAAAGAGCATTATGTATATTCTAACTTTCATAATTCCTTTACAGTTTTTTTTTATAAATTTTATGTCAAATTGAAATTAAACTAGAGCTATTTGCTTGTCTACATCTTAAGCCTAATGCTAAGGACTTTGAATAAGATTTGCGTTAGATACTGCACACCATTCTACACAGAATATATATAGCTGAACAATTAACTTTTATTTCCTGAACACGTCTCCTGATTTTATCCATTCAAGAAAACGTTTTTGAAGTTGCGGTCTGGACAATCTCATTTCAACATTTACTTACAGAACATATTTTAGAAATTAATGAGATTTCAAATGACTATTTAATTTCGGTTTCTTACTGATGCTTGACACAGTATACATACTGTCTAAACGTTTGAAAATACAGAAATGAGATTAATCTTTGTTGACCTTGGGTGGAGACGAAGTGCTACCGTTGGTGAAGTTTCAGTTTTGTTTACTCTTCCCGAAATGGCAGGGTTCTTGAAGTTTTAAAAAATTACATTGTTGTATGAACACTAAGACTATGATTTATTGGAAACGTAGATAATATAAAAGAAACACTGAACAGAGAACACATTGCTTAAAGTAAAAGATCGCTGTTTATGTCTCTGAAATTCCGAGGGGCATGAGGTTTTTTAGTGACGTTACATTTCAATAGTAAAACGAAAGTAAAAAAAAAAAAAGAAAAAAAAAAAAAAAAAAATACAAGTGAATGATACATTAAAAAAATAATCAATTTCAGTTAAAAATAATGAAAAAAAAACGGATATCCAAAATGATTTATCAAACCGTATTATTTCGTTCTTCACAGAAACTGTAACGGCCTGAAGTGTTAAGAACATACGAATGTGTCTACATAGTCTTAACTCAAACTCAAATCAGGGCAACGATTAATGTACATCGGGACTCGTGATAAGTGCAAAGAGACCATGTGCTGTGGGAGAGTAACAGGAGGCCAGAGGAAACATCTAAATCCAGACGGGAAAATGTCATCGCCTGATGAATTTCATGTTTCCAAATATTGAATGTTTTCACAATAACAAAGTATGGCAATAACTATCTTTTACGGTATGAAATCTGTCTGTAAAGAGCACTTGTTAAATAAAACATGTACCTTGATAAAAAGATCCAATCTGATTTTTTTTCCGTTTTGAACCTAAATTGACAAATGCATTGCGCAGAATTAGGTATCGAATAAGACTTAAGTTATTTTCTGAAATTTTTACTTGAAGCGAAAGTAAGTTTTTGTCTAATAGCCATAAGATGATTGTGTATAAGGCTGTCGTGCTGTTCACGATCACATACGAAATATGCAGGTTAAACCCCTTCCAACCAAGCAAAAGCGGTATGCATTTGTTTGACACTAGTTCGTAACAATGAAAGCCGAGGACAATTTTTTCCAGTTCAAATGGTTGGCAAACCGCTTATATTTTTCCACGGGCTATGTCGCCGGGCCCGAAATATGCCACAACATCATAAATACATAAATGTATTTATGTATGGTGTTGGCGCGACAGAGTCACCTAAATGTTTCGTCCCTGAATAGTCTGTTGCATGTCCAGGCTCATGAATAACAATTTTCAAGTGGCGGTTTATATGATATTGAACGGGATGGGTTTAATATGTAGAGTTCCAGTGCATATGATCAGAATGCGCTTGGATCAGGTCTTAATATCCACTTGTATTTATAAAAACCTCAAGATTGAGGATTTTGAGATCGACATTATTTAACGTTTGTGTGTTGTGGAGTTTTTGTCCAAATATTGACAGTATTTGCGTGAAGGTAACTAAATACGTTGACGAAGCAGGTTTGTTACATACTTAGATTCTCATTTTCATTGCGCTTCCTCGTGTACAAAGCATGAAGAAAATACCAACATGGCAACCTAATCATAATCTAAACTTATTCAATAAAAAATAAGAACAAATGAAAGATTTACAAGTTGACTCTTGAAAAGAGAATAAGACCAGGTGTTCCGGTTGAATTAGCGTCTTTATAAAATATAATGATACCGTCAGCAAATGAATTAAATAAATATGCCAAAATGGCAATTTATTGAGGTATATACCAGCAATGGTGCATACCATTAAGATAAGCGATGCAGCAAATACAGTTAGGATTGTTATTAAACGGATTCTTATATATTCATAACGACCTGTATTTTTGGAGTTGACTGTGTTATAAACAATATGATTTATATTGAGCTTTTAGTGTAAATAAATCAAGGTTCAATGGCATGGATGTGGACATTTTTGTTCTGAGGTTGTCTAATTAGTAGAATATATACACGGAGTTAAATTATTCGTTACTTTTAAATACATAATATCGCATTTGAAAATAAATTCATTTTTGTTTTCAAAATACATGCTATAAATTATCCATTGAATGCCGACTACATTGTTTTATTCACGGCATAGGTCAATCTTTTCAAGTGTGTGTAAGGATCGAGACTGGATATGGTACATAAACTTAGAGATATTTGATCTATTAATAGATGTAATGTAAATTTCTTTATCTTCCCGATGAAATGATTTTATACTATGATTCTTTACAATGTTGTTAATACATCTCACCAATTACCAGTCCTAGTGTATATTGAAATAGCATTATGTATCCCATCGGCCTTAGATTGACACTGTTGAAGAGCACTATATCTTCTCATATGGCGTACGAATACATTATGGCTTATTATGAAGTATGGATTCTTCGCCCTAAAAGATTTAGAACTATCCGGCGCGAGACAGAATTGGTCCAGAATATAGCCAGTAATTGATGTTTATAGCCATAATGTACAAAAACGCATTGATGTCTTTAGCATGATCAATATATTGACAAATTTTGTAATAAATAAGTGTATTTTTTATATTTTTCAGTCGACAAAGTGTAAAAAGCTAATCCGGCTCAGCCCAAAATCCAAGAAAAAACGAGTGAAAGAATCGAACGGCATGGACGGTTGTCACAGTGCTGACCACAACGATAGAAAGGGAAGTTATAGTCGTAATAAACTTCCGAATGGCTTCACAGACAAAGAAAGCGAAGGTAGGTTCGAATCGCAATTACACGAACGTTTCTTGAATCAGAGAAAATGTTCAACAGAGTCACTCTTGTGAGATCTTTACGACAGAAACATCGTTAACATAAGACTACATATGAAAACCTAGCTACAATAGAAAAATACCAACATGTTGATGTCATCATCATCCAAACTCAAATTCAATAGGACAAAAGCAAACTCGAAGATTTACACGGAGACTCCTAAAAAGTACAAAGATAATGCCGGAAGATTAAGCGTCTTCTGCTTCAGGAAAGGAGTATTCTTGCATTCATAGTTTTCAGCAACACTCGTGAATCAGGTCCTATACAAATTTAGAAGAGTTTTATAAAATACAATACCAGTATCTCTATAATGTTTTAAAATATTAACATGAACTTTATCATAGAGCTGTTTCGTCCTTCCCAGTCTCTCGGAGACACCTGGAACCTACAGTGTTGAAACTGAGGAAGCGATTAAGGAAAATCGCAACAAACTGTAATTAATGTACGAATCTAGATGGGATGGTGAGCTTGTTCAATTTCTTTAATCTTAATTTTGATTTCAAAAGAACGTCAATAAAATGTGCATGGATTAAAACATGTAATGACGACAGCCTCGAGGACTGAAGTCCACTAACAGATCGTAGAACTTTCAATCTCGAAGGCGCATCGTCTCCCAAAGATACACTTGAACAATATATTTCAATACAATTTAAGAAACAATTTCCTTGTCAGAAACACTTTTCAGACATTACACACAAATGCGCTATCAAATATTCAATATTTTAGAGAGTTCGTTTTTCATTTGTTGCTTGCTAATAATGCTTGATCAACAATTTTAGAAATGGTGTAGATGCATGGTATACAGCAAAACAGGAGGTCTTATACCATGCTAACCTGCCAACATGCTCCAAATTAGGAATTCCTCTTTGCGAAATTTTCTTATACAGCACTTAAAATTTCTCTGGAAATTCTGAATGGTGGTATTTATGTTTGGTATTGGAATCTGTTAATTGTATGATATGTAGTGAGAGTAGACAGATATGTCTTTGATATAAAAATACATATTTGACTTAAGATGTCTTAAAAACACATACCTCTATGAAACTGTGTTCAGCATACATTACGATTTAATTATATCATTTAACCTGACATGAAATATAATTGAAGCACTCATATCATGCCATTATGGCATTTTTTTCTGGCGTAAATGCACTTAGCTTTGGGATTTGAAGTGCAATATATTTGGCGTTGTTGCCTTTTGAATACATCTTGGCCGTTGAACAACAAAGCATGTAATTGTTATTATATACTCGTTGCAGCTTAAAATACAAAATGTAGATCTTTAATACGGCCTCTGGTTGTATTGATTCAACTCCCACTACTGTCCCAGCCCGCCTACTCACGTATGCGCGAACACACAACTGTACACGTGACTTGGTACCATGGGCCATCATGATTATGTTTCCGAAATGAGCATCAGAAAGATATTTGCCGTGTATTGCTGTCGAACTACTAGAACATAAAAAACACCGCACAGAAAAGATGGGACAAAATATTGGGATATAATTCGTATACATGCACACATAACAACAAGGCCGTGATGGCCAAATTAACATGGCATCTGACCACTTTTACACTAGTCCACAACCTCGAGTCCGAAGCCCACATTGGGTAATCACCAGGTACCGGCCGCAGATCGGTTTTTGTCTCCGTGAATTCTAGCTTTCTTCCAGAAACCAAACCTGGCGCGTCCTTTAGTGACCCTTGCTGTTGACAGGACGTTAAACAACAATATTTCAAATGTAAACAAAACAAACATTTATTGCACTGTCATTATAAAGGTATGGAATAATTTCTATTGAACAAAGTTATGCAGTTTTAGCTTATTTCTTATTTACATGCGTTGTTCAAATATATCTAACGTTAGGGCAACCGCAGTATGGACAGAATTCTTCCGTTGCGATCTGCTTTTCAATCAAGTCGCAAATGATATAAGTATTGCAGAACACACCATCTGACGCTGTTAAACAACAATTGAAACTACAAGTGCATTGTTATTCCCTGACACTTGTTCCGCCCTGCTATAGTCGAAGGTTATCATAATCAGAAGTATCTAACTTGTAATTAGTAACCAGCAGTAGATTGTACTAAGGTTTGCGTTTTAGACAAGACACGGAACTATTACAAGTGGAGACGGAGAACCAGAAACACGAAACACTCAACAAATTGGAAATACTATATCACAATGTCGGTGAAAGAGATAATAACGTGCATTACTTCTAGCACGCAATAACGACGGTAGAGTCCATTATGTTAAGCAATGGAAGAATTCATATGGGGAGGAAAATATCACACATCAGAAATGTCATAACTGTCAGATTTCTTTCTAGTAATGTCACACTGATGTGAAATTGACAGCTTTAGACAAGTTTCCTCTCAACCTATATTTACGTTTATACAGTCATACAAAATGTGTGATTTCATCAACGACTGATGTTGTTTTTTATTTTGCTTTAGTAGAGGTCAATAAACATCATATTGTAACTTTCCAAAAAAAAGTCTAGCTTTTATTTTGGTTTCTATCCACCTGTCTGTAGGACCGATGTCCACGATCCACCAGAACCGCTACGGTTCGCTAGTCGATACTGCATTGATGTGTTTTGTAGGGCCTATCTGACCCTATGTTGGCAATGTACCGATTCCACTCTTCCTGACATAGTGCCAGCGCCACAGTGACTGAAACAATACAGCTAATGTATTCTTATCCTATAAATGTTTGAATGGTACGCAGAAAAGCTTAGCTTTGTAAAGAAAACGGTGCGTCTAGACATAACGGAATTACTAAGCATGGTTTGTAGGGTTTTCAGGATGTGTATCGGTTCTGATAATGAATTCTACAAACGCTTGAAAATAGACCAGCTAGAAAGTTGATTGATTCGAGGTAATGTATAATTACTGTAAGGCTATTTAAGCAGATATTTAAACGCCGATAAGGCTTCTATGCGTATTGTTTACGCTCAGCACAACTGTTTTCATGGTGTTTATACAATATTACATTAAAAAGAATGTTTAAACCATCTGAAACATGCGAAGCCGAAAATTTGTAATAGATAGGCTAAAAACCGAGAGAAAAATCCAGTTTATGCAAAACTGCGTTAGTAATGTGATGATAATGGTTGCGAGTATTTGTAGAGCACGAACATTTCACACTGTACGAAACATGTTTATGAAAATAAATGTATGATCTGACTTTCATCTTGATCATTGAGTCTTAATTGTGTAATGCTATAATGCATCATTGTCAGAAACAATTGGTCTGTTAACTCATGGCATATGTTTAATCTTTGACAATTATTGTTTTCCAAACTAATGTTTTGTTACGTATACTTGGTCCATCAGTCTCTATCTCTATATCTTTATAAAGAAAAATGATATATTATTTCAAACGTTTCAACCGGGAGACAGCCTTAACAATTTAGCCTTATTTTCCTAACTCATGGCACATCACCTCGTCTCTAAGTGTAAAGCCTTATTACCTTTTTTATACGGCACTAACTGCTCCAAAAATGAGAAATTCGTTCATATTTACGTATTGCGTTTTTCTGTATTTTCAATGCGAATGTTTTCATGCATGAATGAAAACGCAGAGTGATTGAAATATATCCACTAATTTATCATCGTTTCTGATTTGTCGTTGACCTGTTTGTGTTCTTTGCCATGTCCTTTTGTGACTTGCATAAGACCGCATTCCATTCACAAAATGGTACATTTCCAGTTTTCGGATCTGTTCGTGGTGTTTCCAGTGTTTGATATGGCCCTGGCCTATTTTTCACGATGTTATTTAACATTCAAATTCAAACTTGTTTTCGTTTGGTGAAGTGGTGGTATTAATGTAGTTAAAATAGTACAGCTTACGTCAAAGTAGTGACATTCGGAAATAATTTAATTTTGGATAAAAATCTACCACGACTTTCTGGACTTGACATAGATGCGTCCACATTTAAGAAGTAGTATTTATTGAAAGTTTCACTTGAGATAAAACCTTACTATGAGTGTGGAGGACTTGATATAGGAGCGCTGACGTTGAAGTAATGACATTCGTTTAAATTTACTCTATATTGAATTAAAACCTGCCACGACGTTGTAGGAGTGGCGACTTGCTTCAACAGCCAGCATTGTGTTTATGTCTCCTCGGCTTGCGTTAAGAGTAAAACCCAAATTCAATTATTGGAATTCTTTTTTCTCGGGAGATAAATTACCAGACAGAAGATAGTATCATTTATGTCGATTGCTTTTCCTGTTTGTTTTACAAATGACGTCAAACGTGTTATAATTATCATTTAAAGCGTTCTTCACCTCTGTAATTTATTAGATTTTTTCCAACAAAAAGTTTTACTTCTGTGCTTACAGTGTGTATTTTTTACCAAGGTCATTTTATATTTGAAAATCTAGAAAGTGACAGATTCTTGTGCCTTTAAACTCTGTTCAGTCTTTTACCCAGTTGTCAATGATACAAACGCCACGAGTATCTGTGGCAATGAAATTCATTTCAGTAATTAATTATCCTTCCCGCGACTTTTCAGATTATCAAAAACAAAAACAAACAAACAAAAATTGCGACAATCAATTTTCTTTTGCCATGCAAGGTGTGTTCAGTGAGAGGTCATGGAAAATCTTCGGCGAGAACTGGTGTCGAACGTCGATGGATAGGTATCTAAAATAGCCTTGTACAAGTTACACAGCTAAAAGCCTTATCAGCGAGGTTACCTACCTGTGCCAGATCACAAAATAACAAAGTCCATACAGACGGGTATTACTAACACACAAATATAAAACGAAGATTAACAAAAGAAATATTGATGTATATACTTTGGTACAAGAACGAGGTGTTCCGGAAGATTAATCGCATTTTCGATAAAATGATCATGTAATATCACAAGACATCCTATCATCCTCGAATTAAGGATTTATAATCAGTTCAAAGTTTCGACATGTCTTCTTCT